ACCACCACAGCACCACCACCATCATCACCACCACCACCACCACACTACCACCACCACCCTGTGCTTCCTTGAATCCATAGTCCTCCACCAGCCTCCCAAGTTTTTGGATTATAGTTATCCACCGCCATACCTAGTGGAAAGTTATATTAAACAAGATCCCGACATAAAACCTAAACCAGAAGAAAACTAAAATATTTTTGATAAATAGAACTTCAATAAAATGTAGTATTTTAACAAAGTATATAATAATAATAATAATAATACAGTTAGTAGACTACTAGATTATATATGTATATATGGAGTTGTGTGTTAACAATAAAAAAGGAAGACAGTTTTAAACAGAGTTAAAGTATATGACAGTGTCCAGAGGAAAACCCAAAGGGCACAAGCAGAGTAGAAGGTGATGCCCAAGCAGACTGGAAACCAGAGATGTGTAACTTAGAACAAGGTGCCCTTCTGCACCTGTCGTGAGAGCAAAGCGCTGAGAGAGAGGATATCAAACACTACAGGGACAGGTGGGGATGGAAGTGGATCTGGCTATTCAGCACACATACCGTGTGGACAATAATGATAAGTACATTTAAAAATAATAAAATGCAAGTTCTATAGAGGCAAGGCACTTAATTGCCTTTTGTGTCTCCTGATATGACATTTCAAAGACAAAATAGACCCTGGGCACAAAGCTGTCCTTCAGGAAACATTTTGATCAGTGAGTGAGCATTATTATTGCATTACATGAATTCTTGAACAAGTGTATCCTTTTGCTTTCAAATAAATTGGACTCACGAACCCATGTATATATTAAGTCCAGGGTAACTTTTAAGATGAATTTACAGCTTATGGAAAGCATCTCTCTGGGTGCTTAGCACGAATCAAGCTTCATTTTAGCCTCCTTGTTGAAAGTCTGTTTGTATGTATTCCAAAGACAAAAAGAAAGGGACAAGAAAGAAAGAAGAATGACAAGAGGAGGAGAGTAATTGTTTCCTTTGCACTGGAAATCTTCTGACCGGCCACACCCCTCATTGATGACTTCACAGTGAGGTGAGGTAGCCAGGGCTCAGATGCCCGCAGAATCACCTCTCATGATTGCAGTGTGGCTTTGAGACTATGCCTCATCCAGGGCCTGCAAGGGATTCTATCACCTGGCCTCGACCATCACCTCCCTTCTTCTCAGATGAGCACTAGCCCACACTCATGACTACTCTGTTCTGTCAATCACCACTCCAGGTTTCCTTCAGTCAGGCCAGGGCTAGACTTTTCACAAGAGGTAGGTGTATTCTTTGTCCTTTGAAAGCCACTCCTGTTCTTGAAAAATACATCCCATGAGACGATACCTTCTGCTGTCCTCTCATTGCTTTAATTTGTGAAAAGTTTCAACTCCTGTTTCCACGATAACCTTTCTCGTTCTAGAAAGATGGACCAAATGGGATAAAATGTCATAAAGCTGCATAATTTCCACAAAATTAATGTTTCTGAACAAGAAACACCATCTATCACTAGGAAAAGAACTGACATGCTTTGGGTCTTAAACATAATCAGAAAATAAATCCATAGATAGGCTTAGCCCCAATTAAGCAGTTTCTTTGTATATTTTAATCTTACTCCCCACATCATTTTTCTAGAGCATAAGAGTCTAATTTTCTTTTGTATTATCGTCACTCTAGACTCTGTCTGACACATTGTAGCAATAAATACTTGTTTCCTTTCTTTTTTAAATTTCTTTTGATCCCTTTTACATACCAACCTCAGATCCATACAGAACCTACAGCCTTCTTTTCTCTGTGCATTGTGAAGTTTACCCACTGGGGGGCAGCACATGACTTTAATGACACAATCCCACTCTTACTGAAGGCACACTTGAAACAGTAACTCTTATTTCAAAAAACCTGATTACAATTCTGTCCTCAAAAGTAGTACATGCACTTCCAAACATGGGTTTTTACATGAAATTTACACATTTTGATTTAAAAAAAAAACTTTGTATAAAAGGTAGACATTCTTTCTCTTTTCCTGCCGGAAATTAGTTTGTTGAATGATTGCACCTGTTTTTAGATCAGAATTTTCAGCACACGCCCGATGCTGGTACTTGAGGAACAAAGATTTGGGGGCCAGTCTAGTCTACCGGGCAAATCCCAAGCCAATCAGGACTACACAGCAAGACCTTCTCTCAATTAATTGATTATTAATTAAGATAAAATTGATTGTAGCATTCTCTTGGCAATGAGACTGTATGTTAGGAAGGATTATGGTTGGGAAGTTGGATCACAGAACTGGATCTCATCCACTTGTATTGTTGGGACATGTAGTTGATATGTTTATTGCATTTACACCTTGAGTTGAAAGTTTAAATGCACTTAATGAGCAACTCTCATGCTCCTCTTTAGCAACTCAAGTAGCTTCAGTGGTGCTGCTGATCAACACAGACTGTTTCCACTTTTGTGTAAGCCTGGGTCCTGGACTGGCACTGCTAGATCCCTGCTTTTAAAATATAGGAGCGCTTTGATTTTTAAAAATTTACCACAGGGCTGGAAGGATGATTCTGTGGTTACGAACCACTGGCTGTTCTTTCAAAGGACCAGGTTTGATTCCCAGCACCCATATGGCGGCTCACAGCAGTCTGTAACTCCAGTCCCACGTGACCCAACACTCTCTTCTGGCCTCTGTGGGCAATAAGAATGCACATGGCTCATAGACATACATCCAGACAAAACATCTGTCCACAAAAACATAAAAATAACAAAGAAAATAAAAATATACCTAACCCACATTCTAGTTTAATGTTCCTTTTAAAAAATTTATTTTTATTTTAGTTGCATTGGTGTTTTGCCTGCATGTATGTCTGTGTGAGGGTGTCAGATCTTAGAGTTACAGACAGTTGTGAGTTGCCATGTGGGTGCTGGGAATTGAATCTGGGTCCTCTGGCAGAGCAGTCAGTGCCCTTAACCACTGAGTCATCTCTCCAGACCCTAGTTTAATGTTTCTTGTTCATACTGCAGTCATTGTAATCTCCTCCTTAAGTCTTCACTCAGGTGCTGACTATATTATTTTAGTATTTCCTTCATTCTCTTTTCTTTCTCCATTTCCAATCCATGACACACACACTAATGTACCAACTCTCAGACCTTGCTTCTTCATGATGAGTAAAGAGCTAGCTTAGCTCCAGGGAGGCCCTACACCCACCCTTGTGTTAGTTCCTTTTCTGTTGCTGTGAGAAAACACCATGATCAAGGCGTCTTACAGAAGGAAGGGTTGATCAGAGCTTATGGTCCCAGAGGAGTAAGTGTCCGTCATGGCAGCGAGGCAGAGCAGCAAGCAGCAGGGACAGCAGCTAGAGCCAAGTGCCGGGAGCTCACACTGGGAGCCACAAGGACGAAGCAGAGAGAACAAAGTGTGAGTATGTGTGGCCTTCATCTCGAAAAGTCCATCACCAGTGACACGCTTTCTCCACCAAGGCTGTGCCTCCTAAACCTCCCCTAAACAGCCACCAAATGTTCAAATGCCTGACTATAAGGGACATTCTCATTCAGACCACTGCAGTCTTCATACTGTGAAACATACCAATATAAATACAGTGTTCAAAAGTAAGACTTCAGGCTGGAAAAATGGTTCAGTGGTTAAGATCATGGACAGGTTTGCCAAAAGAGCCAAGCTCAGTTCCCAGCACCTGTAACAGCTCACAAACACCTTCAACTGCAGCTTCCATGCCTCTGGCCTCCATGAGTACCTGAGCACAGGCACACTCGAAGGCACCCCCCACACACACGCACACACAGACACACACAGACACACACACAGACACACATACATAGACACATATACACAAATACACACACACACACAGACACTCACAGGCACACATACATAGACACATACACACAAACACACACACATACACAGACACACATACAGAGACACACACACAGAGAGACACAAACACATATACAGACACACACTTTAAAAATAATACTAAAGTTTCTTAAAATGTTTCATGAAGTTATAGTCCCCTGGAGACATGGTCAGCCTGAAGATGTCGAAAGCGGTAGGTTCCCCAAACATTTCCTCCATGTGGTCAAGGTATCCAGGCTTCTAGTAAAACACCTATGATCTTCTCCAGGACACATGGCCCCAGCAACACTGCCTGCAAATTCCCTTTCACAAAGCTTACTGTGGTGTATTTCCAGTGGATGCTGTGTCAACAAAAGTCTGTATCAGTTACAGCTAATGTTTCTGGTAATCCATTTTTCAAAAAATACAAAAGAGTGCCCTAACAAAATAGAAATACAGAAAAGAAGCCCAGTGGGTCAGTTTAGAGGTCGAGACTCCCATTGTTCTGATTCACCATCTAAAAGGTCAGGAAGCTGCTGGGACCCTTACCATCACACACAATCTAGTGACAAAGGAAACTGAGGACAAGCTCCTATTGGTTAACTCCAAAGTTGTTGATTTGGAGTTTTGTTGTTGTGTTGTTATGTTTTGAGAAATCTTTCTCAATTTTCTACCCAAACGGTTGAGGTTGCATCACAGTGGTTCACAAGTCACAGAACCCCAGCAGCACAAAAAGGGACTGAGGATTTGCTTTGCATTTAGACAGAAGGCTTCCCACAGTTTAGGGCTCTGTTACCAAGAAAAGAGAGGAACAATACTGAAAAGAAAATGGCCATCCCTGCCGCATGGTAATTAAAAGTTCCCTTGTAATAGTGGGATATTGGGAGCAGCTTATATGGCCTGGGGAAGTAAATGGTTAACAGTTTTTTTCCAAGCCCTGGGGTTAGTGACGTGGAATTTTACTCTCCACTTTTCCTGGGTTTTGCATGTTTTACAATGAGCATACACTATTTACATGATTATTGCGCAAAGGAAAAGACATTGGGGGCTTGGGAGAAGCTCAGCAGGTGGAGCCCTCTCCACCCAAGCATGAGGACTGGAGTTGGGATTCCCAGAATGCATAAGCCAAGTGTATATGAGGACTACCCTGTAATACTAGGGAGCTGGCAGAGAGGGCAAAGAAGGGAGACACCCCCCACCCCCCCACCCCCGCGCGCGCCCAGCGAGCTACCTAGCCAAACTAGAGGAACCAGGGAGCTCAGTGTTCAGCAAGAGACCCTGCCTCAATAAGTAAGGTGAATAGTGTAGTGGGAATTCATTCCACCAATTAGCTTTGAGATAGAAGCCTTAGGGTGTGGTTTCTGCTCCCCTACTTGATCACTTAAAAGGAGGGGGGGTGTCACGCTCTTCTTCTTCTTCTTCTCCTCCTCCTCCTTCTTTTTCTTCCTTTTCCTCCTCTTCCTCCTCCTCCTCCCCCCATCCTCCTCCTCCCCCTCCTCCTCCTCCTCCTCTCCCTCCTTCTCCTCCTTGTTCTTCTTGGTGTGGATTCAGACTACTGGATCCGTTCACTCTCAGGCAGAACAGACAGCAGCTGTTCACCTGGTTCTGTGTTCATAAGGGTATCTTTCCCTTTACTACTTTAATAAATCCTTGTTACCCCCTTAAACAGACTTACCTGGATGTCCTGTAATAGGAGAGGATCAAGGAAGACACCAGGCACCAACCTCAGATTTCTACACGTATCTGTGTGCACTTGCACGTACACACACACACCCTCACACACACATGTGCAAAACAAACAAAAAAGGCCCCAAGAAACCATCCTCAATAATTCAGAAACAGAGCAGCCTGTGAAACTTCCAGTCTGTACATCAGACTTCAACCCTTGGGTTTTGTAAGCCACCCAGTAGACACCATCTTCATAGTAATAATATCATAATGTGCACCGACCGCTAACCTCTAGTAACACTGAGCAGAACAATAATGAGGATAATGGTTCCTTTTGAATTTTAAACCCAGCTAATTTGAGTTGTGCACCAGCTCTGTTTTCTGGGACTTTTTAGTGTGACACCTGTAGAAAACAGAGAAGCCTCCCGCATGCTGTGTACACACACATGTCTGAATCGCAGCCATTGATACCTCCAGTGGTCCTTGCCCCTTTTTCATTCTGTCTGGTATAATCATACTAGACTGGCCGGGCGGTGGTGGCGCACGCCTTTAATCCCAGCACTCGGGAGGCAGAGCCAGGCGGATCTCTGTGAGTTCAAGGCCAGCCTGGACTACAGAGTGAGTTCCAGGGAAGGTGCAAAGCTACACAGAGAAACCCTGTCTCGGAAAAACCAAAAAAAAAAAACCCAAAAAAAAAAAAAAACATACTAGACTTTTCTCCTGGGAGATAAACGGGATGTTTGAAATCAAAGCCTGCCTTTTCTATGTGTGTGACAGGAAGGCCTTGGCCTTATTTGTTTTCTCTCTAACATGGACCAAGTGATGGCTTCTTTACATTATTGAGGGACATCGAAAAGAGAAAATGAAAGAGCTGCTAGGGGTAGTGTTGCCAGATTGAAAGCAGCATGCATAGTACTGGGCACACAGACTTATCAGCAAATCTCCATCTCCACGCAGCTGGGTTGCATTTCATAGGCAGGGGCTGTCTATCATCTTTGGTCCTGCCCACAACACCTGTACCCACAATGGCCTAACAGGTTGGTTGCTACTTCAAACGGCAGCAGAAAACTGAGAAAAGCAGGTGTTAGAAGGAGGAAGGTGGAATTGCCACCACAAAGATGCATTGTGACAAAGGCAGCCAGAATGTCATCATGTTCTTGGCGCCTGTGAGTGAGCTTTAATTTGTTCCATAAACTGTACTGTACGAAAGGACTTTTCAAACTAGACAAAATGTGACTTTCTTGAATTGTCAATTTATAGATCCCACTAATTCCAAGCATCTGCAAACTGAGTATTTTATACTTCTCACAGACAGAAAAAGAGGAAAAAAAAACCCAATAATTAAAATAATTAATTTATTAATAATAATAATAATTAAGACCAGCCTAGTCTACATAGTTGGAGGTCAACCAGGGCTATTTAGTAAGACCCTATCTCAAAAACAAACAAAATCTGGATAACACTTTGTTATTCAATTAGAGCAAAAAGGTGGCCTTTACTCAGAGAAACGGTACCTCTGAACACACATTCACATCCACCGATACAAATGCACAGAGAGAGAGACACACACACAGAGTGGGCGGGGGGGGGGGGGGGGTTACATCATTGCCTTTGAAATGGCATCTGT